ACTGATCAAGGAGAGAAGCAACTTAGAACTAAGGAGAAACTTCCTGACAGTTAGAACAATTAACCAATGGAACAACCTGCCTCCAGAAGCGGTGAATGCTCCAACACTGGAAGTTTTTAAGAAGAGACTGGACAGCCATTTGTCTGAAATGGTGTAGGGTTCCTGCCTGAGCAGGGGGTTGGACTCGATGACCTCCAAGATCCCTTCCAACTTTTTTTATTATTATTATTATTATTATTATTATTATTATTATTATTATTATTATTATTATTATTATTATTATTATTATTATTATTATTAAATTGGATACTTAAATTTTATCAGACCTTGTCCCCAAAATGTTCAGGACTTTCCCCATTTTATATTAACAAAATTGAAAAGTATTTTAGTTCTCAGCATATTTCGCTCATTCAATAGGCCTCAAATCTTCAAATACAGAGAGGACTATATATACCCAAGTCTCAGCAACCCAGTATTACCCATCATAATATTACTACCAGATTTGCTGGTCACTAAAGGTTAGCCAACTTAGTCCATTTGGTGAGCTATAGATGAAAATACATTTTTAAAAAATAGGTGTCACATTAACTGGCACTCATTATGACTTTAATAATTTTCATAATTTCATACATAAATTAGAAGTATATTTTTCTATTTATACTGCTTGCTTCCTTTTTCCTTTGTCAGAAACAAGTGATAATATCAATGTTTACACTTCTGGTAGGATTTTTTAGGTTTCTTTCAATGATAGATGTGGAATTTTCCTTTTGTTTTTAGACCATCAATTTACTCACCCCCAAATTTTCTAAAAGCAGCTGCATAACCTCATCACAGAATGGCAGAATGTTGGACTGCAGAGCCCGACATAAGTCACCCACTAGGCCCACTGCAGCCAAGCAGACCTGCGAAAACAAATATACCCACCACTTTCATGAGTCACTTTTTACCACACCTCAGGCACCAGTTTTGCATTCACTTTAACATATTTTTTAATTTCTTCTATTTCCATGTCATATTTCAGTAACAATTCATATATACGTCCTAATAGGTAATCTTCATTATGTTTCAGTGTTTCAAATTGTGTTATCCTTCTCAATTCAAATTTTTTATTAGTTTATCAGAATATAAAATACAAAGGAAAATGAAAATAATGGGAAACTAGGGGAAGGAAAAAGGGAAGGAGAACATTGACTTCTGACTCTTTTTAGCACAGTAGAAGATAATAATATTACAGCCTCAGCTTTTTGTTTTTACACAGTAACATACACTAGATGTGTTTTCTTTAAACAAAACAGTCAATTTAACCATTTCTACTTTTTTCCTTGTGGAAAGTAATATATATTTCTATTTGCACTTATTAATCTTTATACTATCTTCATTTATATTAACAAAATTCACTACACTCTTTCAAATTCTTTAACCTTAATGGGAAAAAACTTTTTTTTAACCCCTATTTTAAAACTCTGAACTTTTCTTTAAAAAGTTGAAACTTCCTCTTAACACACAGTACATACTTTCAAATTCACTTTCAGTAATATTTTACAAACTTTAGTAATTACTCAAGCATTATAAAGAAAAGAAACCCATTTTCAAACCCACTTTATAAACACAAAACCATACATTAGAGCTTTCTTTTGATTACATATATCAGACTGGTAAAATGCATCTCAACTCCAATTGGCTCATTAAGTTTAAGTCACTCCCTCCAGCTTCTCATCATAAAATAAAATCTTTTTCTTCTCTGGAATGTCTATCAAGTAATTATAAACTTCTCTTTTTCTCAAGGAATTCTCAACCTAGTTAGTATCCAAGAAGAAAAAGTCCCAAACTTGTTCCCTTGAAAATTGTAGATTTACTTGGAACTCTTCTTTCAATTGTGCTGGAAGGCTTGTATTTAAACCATAATCATAATAGAGATTGGTGTCAGATTTATATTGAAAATTTAGTTAAGTCCTTTGCATTGACAGGTACTTGTGGAATTGCCTCAGTGGTTTGGTAACTTTCTACATATTCTAGAACTCTCCCTAATCAAGGAGAGTCATATAAACTAAGGGAACATGGTTCTCTTGTTAGTAGTTGAAGTTTTGGTCCAGAGAAAACTCCCCCCAGATTGGTCAGTCGGGCATTTGCACTGGAAGCCCAAGTCAACCTTCTCAAGGTCCTTCTATTTCTTTCTCGAGATAACACTTTATTCTTCCAGCAATTTCTTAATATTCCAACTTTGGGTAAATTCCTCCCTTCACTGATCAGTTCTGCCTGGCATTCTATAGTCCATTGTAAAGGCTGACAAGGTCGGGGCTTGCCACCCCTTTTCCGGTTTTTAGTAGTTCAGTAATAGGCATGGTGATTTTCGCAAAGGAGGGGATGAATTGCCAATAGAAATTAGCAAACCCCAAAAACCTTTGAAGTTGCTTGCGGGTCCGTGGAGGCTGCCATTCCAGCACAGCTTTGACTTTGGCAGGGTCCATTTCCACTCCCTCACTAGAGATTCGGTAGCCCAAGTAGTCGAGGCGTGTCTGATGAAAATCGCATTTAGAAAGTTTGGCATAGAGACTAGCTTTCAACAGTTTCTTGAGCACCTCCCAAACTAACTTGACGTGTTCCTTCATGGTTTCAGTATAGATGAGGATATTGTCACGGTAAAGCAAAAACCCCTTGTATAGGTGATCATGCAGCACTTGATTTATCAGTTGCATAAATACAGCAGGAGCTCCTTGGAGAGTCCGAAAGGCATCACTTTGAATTGGAAACTCCCTAAGGGGAAATTGAAAGCTGTCTTCCATTCATCCTCCTCCCTCTTCTGACCTGACTCCCTGAACACAACAGACGCACCAATAAATTTCCAACGCTTAAAGTCTTTAGTTGCCTCCAAACAACAGAGCTCGCTCCCTTTTCCCCTGCAGGGGTCTCCCAAAACCCAGAGTTAATCTCAGTCTCTCAGCACGCTTGCAGCAAGAGTCCTTCAGGCAAGCTGGCTTTTTTCCAACATAAGACACACGCACATGCTCAGAAGGCACTCCGACTCCCAGCGCCACAGGATCCGAGGAAAACTCCGGCAAGTTTCCAAACAAGAGTCAGGAGTTCCAAATAGAAGTGGTTGACTGGCAGGGTGGACTTTTAAGGAGCGTTGCAGGGTCAGCCGATATGCCACCGGATTGATGATGGCCTCGACGGGAAAGGGGCCCAGAAAGCGATGGTCCAGCTTCCTAGCCAGTCGATCGGATGGGATGTATTTAGTGGACAACCACACCCGATCGCCCACGGCTAAAGCTGGCATTTCACATTGTAACTCGGCAAGATAATCCTTGGCCGTGGGTTCTGGGGAGTCAACCGGCGTGAGAGGGAACTGGGGGTGATAACCCACGTTGGCGAGGAATGGAGTCATACTTGTGGAGGTATGCTGGGAATTGTTAAAGGCGAACTCGGCCACTGCTAAATAGTTCGCCAAGTCATCCTGTTTTTTGTTGATAAAACAACGCAGGTACTGCTACAGGATTCCTATGACCTTCTCCGTTCCTCCATCCGAATCCGGGCGGTAGGCCGAGGACAGGCACACCTGGACTTCCAAAACAGGGCCGTGAACTGCGTCCCTCTGTCTGAGATAACTCTGTCGGGCAGTCCATGTAGCCGTGACATGAGCCGTCGGAAGCCCACAGCAGGGAATAAAGTGTGTCATTTTGGTCAACATGTCGACCACCACAAGGACCGTAGTGAACCCCAATGAAGGCGGCAAGTCCATCAGAAAGTCCATGGAGTCTACCCCCCAGGGCCTGTTGGGAGTTGGCAAGGGATGCAGAAGACCCGGGGGTGCCCCTGTTGCATGCTTGGCCTGCCGGCATCGACCGCAAGACGCGATATAGGCCCGGATGTCGTGCCGTAGGTGAGGCCACCAGAAGGTGCAGGAGACCAAATCCAATGTCTTAAACAGGCCAAAATGCCCCGCAGCAGGACTGTCGTGGCATTGAGATAACACAAGGCCACGAAGTGGACCCGCAGGGACATACAGCTGGTCACGGAACCGGAGGAATCCATCCGTGAACGTCCACAGGTAGTCCGGCCCCGACTCCGCCCGTCATCGGTCCATCCATGCGTCCTGTTGCTGGGCCTCCCGGGTCCGCACCTGCAAGTCCACCAGTTCCTGGACCGCCGCAAGGGACTCCATGGGCAAGATTGTCCGGAGTGGAGGCTTCTCTGTGCACATATATTCCGGTTTATGGGAAAGAGCGTCCATTCTCTGATTGTGGCTGCTTGGAATGTATGTAATATGAAAATTGAAGGAAAGGAGCGTAGAAGATGGACCATCGAATCTGATGCTGGTTCAATTCCGGGCGGCCTGCAGAAACTCCAAGTTCTTATGATCAGTGCGCACCTCAATCTGCTGCTGGGCCTCCTACAGGTGATGCCTCCAGACCTCAAATGCCACCTTGATGGCCAGCAACTCTTTTTCCCAGATGGCATAATTGCGCTCTGCTGGATTGAGTTTTCGGGAATAATAGGCGCAGGGAAAGAGGGTGCCGCCGGGTGCGTGAGCCTGGAGTAGCACCGTCCCCACGGCAATGTAGGATGCATCGGCCTGCACGACAAAGGGACGGTGTGGGTCGGGATGTTTCAAGATAGACTCCGTCATAAAAGCTCGCTTCAGACTCTCAAACACTACTTGCTCCACAGCGCTCCACTGGAAAGAAGTCCGTTTCTGCAGGAGTCGAGTGAGAGGTGTGGTCAAGGACGCGAACCCAGGGATGAAAGTCCGATAGTAATTGGTGAAGCCCAGGAGCCATTGAACATCCTTGGCCCGACGTGGAGGCTGCCAGTTACATAACGCCTCCACTTTGCCAGGCTCCATAGGTATGCCCTCGGGGGAGACACGGTGACCTAGGAACTCGACGGTAGTCTGGAAGAACTGGTATTTCTCCAGCTTGGCGTAGAGCTGGTGCTCCCGAAGCCATTGCAGAACCAACCGGAGGTGTTGTTGATGGCTCTCCCGGGACGGGGAGTAAATCAAAATGTCATCCAAATAAATGACGACAAACTGGTCTAATAGGTCCCGGAAAATATCATTCATGAAGTGCTGGAAGATGGCAGGGGCATTGGTCAAGCCAAACGGTATGACCATGTACTCAAAATGCCCATACCAAGTACGAAACGCTGTCTTCCACTCATCTCCAGCCCAGACCTGGACCAGATTGTACGCCTCCCATAGGTCCAGTTTGGTGAAGACTTGAGCCTCCCAGAGATGTTCTAAGAATTCCGAGGGGTAGCGGGTACCTGTTGTGCATCGTGATGGAGTTAAGTTTGCAGTAATCGCAACAGTCTCAATTCCCCCGATTTCTTCTTAACGAACAACATGGAGATGGCCAGTGGGGAAGCAGAAGGCCGAATGAAACCCCTCGCCAAGTTTTTCACCAAAAAGTCCCGCAGCGTGACCAGTTCGGGCTCGGACATGGCATAAATACAGCCAACCGGAAGTGGGGCGTCAGGGGCCAAGTGTATCGGGCAATTGTAAGGCCGATGTGGGGGCAGTTGGTCCGCCTCTTTCTCGCTGAAGACGTCAGCAAAGTCAGTCACTTCAGATGGCAGGGCTGCCCTGGTGAGACTTGGGACTTGGGCTGCACATACTTGGTGAGCATTGCCAGCTCGGGAACACAATGAGGCTCTGGGACCAATAGATCAGGGGGTCATGCGCCTGAAGCCAGTCCATGCCCAGGACCACCAGAAAATGCAGTCGGAGGCAATGTAAAATTGGATAGCCTCCTCGTGCATGCTAATACGCATCCACAGCGGTTGCGTGGCGGCCGTAATTGGGCTGGACCGCAGCAACCGGCCATCGATGGTCTCCATAAGGAACAGGGGAGACACCAGGCACGGCGGAAGTGACCATCTGGCTGCGAACGTGGCGTCTATA